TTCTCTAATCTCCCATTATATCTACACTAATACAAAATATTTTAGATACCAACAGTGGTATCAGAGCCCGGTTGGATCAATAACTGGGCAAAATCATTTTCCAATATCCTCCTATTTTTACATATCTTGTCCAAATACCCTACTTTCACATATCCTCTTACTTTCATACAGCCTTCTAAATTTTTATTATGGTCACTTCCCAAAACACCCATCAAATAGCAATTCCTATTTCTTTCGGCGAAAATTATAATTATTGGGCCATTAAAATGAGGACATATTTTATGTCTCAAGGCCTATGGAATATTGTCGAGAACGGGTATACTATCCCCGATGATATATCCACTCTGTCTACGACGGACGAAGAAAAATTCGACCGGGAGAAAGAAAAGGACACTTTGGCCCTTTTCACACTACAAATGGCCATGTCGGACTCCCTGTTTCCGAGAATTAGCGGAGCACAGACATCAAAGGAGGCGTGGGATACTCTCAAGGAAGAATACCAGGGTAGTGACAAGGTACGTCATCTGAAATTACAAACTCTAAGAAGAGATTTGGAATATATGAAGATGAAAGAATCTGAGACCGTAAAAGATTACTACACTCGATTAAAAGAAGTAGTAAATCAACTAAAAGCATATGGAGAAAATATTACTGACAAAAGGGTGGTAGAAAAAATTCTAATTACTCTACCAGCCAAATATGATCCTATCGTCACGACGACAGAAGAAACTAAAGATTTGGATCATTTGTCAGTAACAGAATTAATAGGTTCACTAGAAGCCTATGAAAAAAGACTTAGTATGGGTGAAAATGATTCAGTTGAAAATGCATTTCAGTCAAGATTAAATTTACGGTCTCAGAATTCTAAAATTGAGGGGAGAAGATTTGGAGAAAATAATAAAAACAAAATATGGTATGATATACCATGTGGAATTTGCAATAAAAATAATCACAAAGAAGAAGAATGTTGGTTTCAAGAGAAAAACCAATGCAAAAAATTGTCAAAAGTATGGTCACGTCGAGGAAAACTGTTGGGGCAGAAGACAAAATCAACGAGCAAATTTTTCAGAAGAGACTGAACCAGAAGAATTATTGTTCTATGCTTCCAACGGTACAATAAGAGACAAAAGAAGCATTTGGTACTTGGACAGCGGCTGCAACAACCACATGACATTCGATGAAAGTATTTTTTGCAATATTGAAAAATTCAGTTCAAAAATCAAGATTGGAAACGGCAACTACGTGGAAGCAACAGGCAAAGGGACTATCGCCATTGACACAAGAAAAGGGACAAAATAGATCAAAGATGTCCTCTTAGTTCCAGCAATTGATCAAAATCTATTAAGTGTCGGCGAAATGTTGAAAAAAGGCTACAACTTGCATTTCAGGAGAGAATCATGCACCATTTATGACAAGAACAATAAAGTAATTGCAAAAATCAGAATGAGTGAGAATCAGTGTTTTGCAATAAAATTTCAATACCCAACACTAATTACCAAATCAAGTGTGAACAGTCAAGGAGAAGACGACAAGAAGAAAAATACTGGAGTTCCAGAATCAAACCATCAGGAAAAGCAAGCTCCCACAGTCATTAGAAGACACGTTTCAAAACCACCAGAACAAAAGTCAGAGTTCTACAAAATGTGCAATCGAGCAATTGTCAAGCCAATAAATACAAGCGAAATCACTACAAGAAAAAGACAAAGTCACTACATACATGGACAAGCAAATAGAGCTCGAGTACATCGCTACATAAGATCAACTAGAGACACGAAGGCTTTACCTCGACCAAGATTCGAGACTCTACGTGAAAAACTTGAAATTATCTAAATGTGCATTAAGGGGGAGTGTTAAATTATTAATGCACATTCTAGAAATAATTAAGTTGTCATTAGTTGGAATTAGTTGTCATTATTGAGATTTAGTTGTCATTAGTTGGCATAGATCAATTATTTGAGCTCTAGATTATTCTTATAACTACTATATATATGTAAGTGATCCGTGGATGTAAAGTATAAGAGAGTAAGAAGGAATTGATCAAAATAATAAGTACTTCATCTCTTCAGCACAAATCCTTCTCAAATTCATATTAAAAAATAAAATAAAAATTCTCTAATCTCCCATTACATCTACACTAATACAAAATATTTTAGATACCAACAATAACCAATCAAACCCTAAATGTTCCAACTAATTGGAAGACCACCGCATTGCTTAATGCAATACCATGGTCTCCAAGTTACATAAATTACTTTCTACCCTTACCAAGGAGAATAAAACTTGACGAGAACATTCTTTTTTTCATCGAGCACGTCAAAGTTATCTGGAGTCAGGACGACAACGTTTGAAGGGGCTGAAGCAATCTTCACATTTGTCCCTAAAGATATACAAGTGAAGGGACCAAGAAGAGACTACGTAAGAATGTGTTCTAGGAGAAGACACCAAAAAACTACGCAGGGCAAAAGTAATTGCCCCAGGAAAGAGGTTTGCATTTAATTCCATTCGTGCAAATGTTATCCACGAGTGGAAAAGATTTCATGCAAAAAGAAACGATTAGCAGATTATGTTGCTATCGATTCTTAGCACATACTAGATCGGATGTAATTTGACAATACACCCAACTTTAGCCTCCTGCAATGCTCCTTACGCTCTACAGTAGTAATAATACAACATAGAAAACATATATACCCTCCTTCATTGTTCACGAATTCGGCAAGAGCTTCTGTAGTCCTTGCACCTTCATACCTAATACATTAATAACCAATGATATATTGCAACATAACGTCGGTCAGGTATTGTGGTCTGAAAGAGTGAAACTCACATTTTTGGCTCCAGGGATTCCTTAGGGAACCACTTTATGGTGGGATATCCAGAAACGTCATACTTACTACAGAGGTTCTCTTGATCATCACAATCAACCTACAGTAAATCGAATCATATTATACTTTATTTTGCCACCTTTAAAGATTTGATACAACTCAACACAAATTAATAAAAGTCCATTATTATTGAAAAAAGAAAATAACAATGATTTTAAAAGATACGAGTATGTTTGGGAAAAGCTTAAAAAGAGCTTATAGCTTAAAAAAAAAAAAACTCTTATCTACTTATAGTGGTGTTTGGAAAATTATCTACTTATTGTTAGATTATATTGTATTTAGTAATGTTAAAGTTGTAATTTTTCTTGTATGAGTAAAACACGTTTTTACTCAATGTTATGTTGTTTCTAGAATAGGTATAAATAGGAATTAGGGTTTGCTTTCTCATTCTCAGTTTTATTTTCTCTCATCAGACGACTGCTCACTTTCTCTCTCTTTTCTCTCCAATCTTTCCTCTCAGTTCATCTATACTCTGTAAATCTTCAATCTTCGATTATTGATAATGAAATCTTTGATGTTTTGTTCGATTTCCTTTATTATGGTATCAGATTACGGGTTTATTCTTCGATTCGCATAAATTTTCCGCTGTTCCCGTTCGATTTTTGTTCGATTTTTACATTTTTCGATTATTTTTGCTCGATTTTTTCATCTTCGGATCTTATCTGTGTCGATCTGTTGATTCATAACAGATTTGCGTAGATCGGTTTCGTTCTGTTCGAATCGCTATTTTTTTTATCCGATATTTTCTAGATTTGAGACTTATGGCACATCCGACTGACGATCCATCGTCGCCTTATTACCTGCATGCTAGCGACAATCCTGGAGCTATTATTGTGGCCGATCTATTCACTGGAGACAACTATGTTGCTTGGTCTAGGGCTGTGTTGATGGCTCTAAGTGTGAAAAACAAAATAGCTTTTGTTGATGGCTCTCTGGTAACCCCTAACCCTTCTACACATCCTGTTGAACATATTGCTTGGGTTCGTGCTAATAACTTGGTACTCTCTTGGCTTCTGAACTCTATTTCTAAGGACATCCGTTCCTCTTTATTGTTTTTCTCTAATGCTCAACATGTCTGGGATGAATTACGATCTCGATATGCTCTTAGTAGTGGTCCTAGGGTTTTTCAACTTGAAAAGTCTTTGAGTACTATGGACCAAGGCTCTCAGTCAATCACCCAATATTATACTGCTTTCAAATCTCTCTGGGATGAATACATCACATACCGTCCTATTTTTAAATGTGTGTGTGGTGCAATGACTCGCTGTACTTGTGATATATTTGAATCCTTAACTCTTGCTCAGCAAAATGACTCTGTCATGAAATTTCTCATTGGCCTTAATGATTCATATGCTTCTTTGAGGAGTCATTTCCTGCTCTCTTCTCCTTTACCTTCCTTGTCTAAGGTCTATTCCTTGTTGTTGCACGAAGAGAGACAGAGATCCTTACAAAATTCTTCTAAAACGTTTGAGCCTGCTGCTATGATTGCTAAAACCTCAAAGTACTTCAAACCCTCTGATTTCAAAGATAAGAAAAAGTTCAAATGCAATCACTGTGGTTATAATCATCCTACTGAAAAATGTTACCAAGTTATTGGCTATCCACCCAACTGGATTGGTCCCAAAGGTCCAAGAATTCACCCTTCCATGCAAACCTCTAAACCTCAAACTTCTGTTAACTCTGTTGTCACCAGTAACCCCATTGAACAAACCTCTATGACTGACAAACTGTTTGCTGAGTTCATAGAATTCAAAAATGCTTGTGCTAACAGCAAGGGAAAGGCTCAGGCTGAGTCTACTCCCACAGTTGCAACTGTTCACATAGAACATCAAGGTATCATTTCATTAAATTGTCAGTCCATTTCCTCATTTACCAAAGATACTTGGATTCTTGACACAGGGGCAACAGATCATATGGTCTGTGATTATAATTTCTTTTCAAAAACCCCTAAACCTATTTCTATTAAGATAAATCTTCCTAATGGTCAAAACACAATTGCCAGCCATGTGGGACAGATAAATCTGGGGCCTAATCTTGTGCTGGACAATGTGCTTTTTGTTCCTAACTTTACTTTCAATCTCATATTTGTCTCTAAGCTAACTGCTTCTTACAATTGTTATGTGAAATTTGCCTCATCTTATTGCATACTACAGGAGCTACAAACCAACAAAATGATTGGTTTTGCTGAAGCTCAGAATGGATTATACCATCTTTCTGTTCATAATAATAGTACTGCTCTGGCTGTCAATTCTCATGTAAACAAAGATGTAAATTTTCATGTATTAGATTGCCCTCAGAATTCTCATGTTTCTTCTACTGTGCCCTCAACTCTTTCTGCTTCTGAGTTATGGCATTTGAGACTAGGGCATTTGTCATTTCATAGACTATCAAGTATTCCAGAATGTTCTTCATTGAATTGTAAGACTCTTACATCTGTACCATGTGATTCATGTCATTTTGCCAGATAGAAAAGACTTCCATATAATAATAGCATATCCATAGCATCTGCACCATTTGATCTTGTTCACTGTGATCTATGGGGTCCCTTTTCTGTTCCTTCTCACACTGGTCACAAATTTTTTCTAACATTAGTTGATGATTACAGCAGAGTCACATGGATATACCCTTTATTTCAAAAGTCTGACACAAAACATTACTTGCCTCATTTCTTCAATCTCATTCTGAATCAGTTCAATACAAAAATCAAATGCATAAGATCTGATAATGGTTCAAAATTCTTTCTCCATGATTTCTTTACTGCACATGGCATCATTCATCAAACTTCATGCACTGAAACACCCCAAAAAAATGGTAGAGTAGAAAGGAAACATCAGCATCTTCTCCAAGTTGCAAGAGCAATTCTTTTTCATGCTCACCTACCATTACATTTTTGGATTGATTGTGTTACAGTTGCAGCTCATATCATAAATAGAATACCATCAACTGTGCATAACAACATATCTCCTTTTGAAAAACTGCATAACAAAGCTTCTACTCTTGATCATTTGAAAATCATTGGTTGTTTGTGCTATGCATCTACCTTAACTGCACATAGATCCAAGTTTGATCATAGAGCATACAAATGCATCCTTCTTGGCTATCCACTTGGTTGTAAAGGATATAGACTTTAAAACCTGGACACCAAGAAAATAATAATTTCCAGAAATGTGTGCTTTTATGAACATGTGTTACCTTTTAAACATACATCTCTACTTACAAACTCCTCAGATACTTTGTTTCCTCCTCCACCAGAATTCTCATACTTTGATTCTCCTGTAATCCAACAGCCTGACTCCAGTGATACAAATACTATATCCAACAACTCACCACAACCACATAATCTCCTTCTTCACCCAGCTCAAACAATAGTTCTCCACCAACCTCTCATACTCAATTACAATCATCCCATTCCAATAGTCCACCATCAGACAATAATTCTCCACCCTCTACTTCACTGAGAAGATCCTCTAGGGTCAGAACCATTCCATCTTACCTAAACATTTACAAACATTCTTTACCCCACTCTTCTAATTCTACCTCTGTTATACATGAGCACACTTCTGGAACACCCTATCCTCTCTGCAATTATTTATCTGCTGCATCATTATCTCATGATCATGCATGTTTCACTGCTGCCATCACCAATCTTACTGAGCCAAAGTCCTACAAGAAGGCAGTCTTAGATCCCCTCTGGCAAGAAGCCATGAATAAGGAACTAGCTGCCCTTGAAAAGACTAACACTTGGAAATTGGTTGATTTACCTCATGATCATCATTGCATAGGGAGTAAATGGGTTTATAAAATAAAATATAAATCAGATAGGACTATAGAGAGATATAAGGCTAGATTAGTAGCCAAGGGTTATACCCAAGAAGAAGGTATTGATTATTTTGACACATTTTCACCTGTTGCTAAAATCACAACTGTTAGGGTTCTGTTAAGCATTGCATCCATTAAAAATTGGCATGTTCATCAACTAGATGTAAACAATGCATTCTTACATGGAGACTTGGATGAAATTGTTTATATGACTCCTCCACCTGGCTATCTTTCTGTTGGTGATAATAGAGTGTGTCAGTTAACCAAAAGTTTATATGGCTTAAAACAAGCATCTAGACAATGGTTTCAAAAATTAACTACTTGTTTACTTGCTTATGGTTTCCGCCAATCCACTTCTGACTGCTCTTTATTTGTTTATATCAAGAATGATCTCACTCTTATGCTTCTTGTATATGTTGATGACATCATAGTAACAGGTAACAATTTGTCTGCTATTACTGCCATCAAACAACATCTTGATTCCTGTTTACTATCAAAGATTTGGGTACTTTGAAATATATACTTGGTTTAGAAATTGCTCAATCTGACAAAGGCATTCATTTATGTCAAAGAAAATATGCTTTGGATATCTTGAAAGATACTGGTTATTTAGATAGTAAACCTGCTAAGACTCCTATGGATTCCAATTTGAAATTATCTGCTACTTGCTCTGATTCTAACTCTGCTCCTGTAAATGCCTCTGAATATAGTAGGTTGGTAGGCAGGTTACTCTATTTAACTATTACTAGACCTGACTTAACACACAGTGTTCAATGCCTAAGCCAATTTGTTTCATGTCCTAATCATCAACATGTCACTGCTGCCAATAGAGTTCTCAGGTATGTTAAGGGCACTATTGGACAAGGTATTATTTATCCCAGAAACTCCAATTTAATTTTAAAAGGATTCAGTGACAGTGATTGGGCTGCTTGCCCAGACACAAGGAGGAGCATTACTGGATATGCTTTCTTCCTTGGGGACTCTTTGATTTCTTGGAAATCCAAAAAGCAGCCCACTGTTAGTAGATCCTCTGCAGAAGCAGAGTACAGGGCCTTAGCTCTCACAACATGTGAAGCTCAATGGCTTTTGTACCTGCTCAAAGATTTAAATATATCTCACCCTGCTCCTGTTTTATTATTTTCAGATAGTAAATCTGCAATATCCCTTGCTAAGAACCCAGTTCATCATGAAAGGACAAAGCACATTGAAATCGATTGTCACCTAATCTGGGAAAAGCTTGCTGCAGGCACCATTTCCTTACACTTTGTCCCTTCAGAGGCTCAACTTGCAGATGTTCTCACCAAACCCTTGAGCCCTCAACCTTTTTTCAACTGTATATCCAAGATGAACATTGTAAATATACATGTTCCTCTTGCGGGGGGTGTTAGATTATATTGTATTTAGTAATGTTAAAGTTGTAATTTTTCTTGTATGAGTAAAACACATTTTTACTCAATGTTATGTTGTTTCTAGAATAGGTATAAATAGGAATTAGGGTTTGCTTTCTCATTCTCAGTTTTATTTTCTCTCATCAGACGACTGCTCACTTCTCTCTCTTTTCTCTCCAATCTTTCCTCTCAGTTCATCTATACTCTGTAAATCTTCAATCTTCGATTATTGATAATGAAATCTTTGATGTTTTGTTCGATTTCCTGTATTACTTATAGTCAAAATATAATTTGACTATTACGTACTTAGGAGTTCCAAAATCATATTTCAGTTTCTGCCCATCTTCTACAGAGAAGAATAAAGAAAAAGACTGATGTTTCATTATTCAATAGAAGCACCAAAATATTAGTCGATACAGAATATTTTGACTGAATTGAAATGATAAAAACTAAGCGAGTTCTGTGATGAATTTTCGATAGATATGACCATTAAAAATCCGTGAGACTAGCCGGTACGACAAATTTTGATACAAGCACTGACTCCAAAACATATATAGTGCATTTAGAAAATAATATAGAGCGCTTACCTTGCCAATCAGAACAGATTTTGCCTTCTTAAAACTTTCACCGAGCTTTTCATACTCAGGAGCAAGCTTTTTGCTATGTCCACACCTGCACAAGACAGAGCATCACATCATAAATTTATAAACAAGAGAATTTGTGGTTACAGTCTTACAACAGATTATCAAAAACCACCTCAAATAAACGAACTCTCAAACTAATAATCAGATTCATATCAACAAAAATGAGCTCTAAACTCACAGACATACGACGGTAGCAATTAACAATACCACACAAAAAAACTACAACCACAACATTTTCATACATCAGCAAAATGCTCAGAACAGAAGCTTGATCAGAAAAGGTTAAAAAGAGGCAAATATCAAGATCAACCAAAACCCCATACCAAGGAGCGTAGAACTCAACGAGAGCTCTGCGATCGTGACCGACTTCTTTCTCGAAATTCTCCTTTGTCAGCACAACGACGTCGTCGGCAAACGCCGATGCAAAAAATAACAGCGTTAGGGCGGCGCCGGCGAACAAGCAGATCCGATAATGTGAAGACGACGGCATTTGGCAATCTCTCGAAGAAGATGCGACCAACAGAGTTTTTGAAGTGAAATTTAATTTCTGTATGTGTTCCACTTCGTTTTTTATAGTTGCATGTTATCGGCCTTTTTGATATTTCACATTTCTGTTTTTTCTTAATATATAATATACACCAGCGCGCGATACTTGCTCATTTTTTTTCTTAAAATTTAAAACTAATAATGAGAAAAAGTAGTTGAAAAGTTAAATATTTTTTATAAAAAAATATATATTATTATATATTTTAGTATGATTTGTCTCTTGTGCGACTTACTTGTGTTATATTATAATAATTTTTTTAACTTATATCATATAACTACATTAAACATAAATATATTAATTGAGAAATAATTTTATTTTTCTAATTAATTTAATAAATAATTTTATTATTATTATAAAAATAAATATAATCTATTTATTTTATATACAATACGGATGTCAAACCGAATCTTATCAAAACATGATTAATTTGATATATTATATATGCAAAACCGATAAAAAATACAAAAGTTGTCAACTTTTAAAATATATTTACAATTCAACGGTTATAATAAGAAATGATAATAAAATACAATTCATAGATTTAAAATGATCATAAATAAATCAAAATATTTAGAGTAAGTCGGAGCTAATTATTTTTGGATTGAAATTAGATTAAAATCTATCTAAGCCAAATAATGAAGCATGAAATTTTAACACCTAGAATTTCGAAGCATGCGAGTTTGCCACTTAGCCTCAGCATATTCGAGAATTATATATAGGGGGATTTTTTTTTACAATTTTATTAGTTATATATATATATATATATATAATTAATCATCTATTAACGTGCTTTGATCTATAATAAATGAATAATTCCTTTATTTTATAATAAAACTAATTTTACCTATTAATATTTTTTAAAATTTTTAAAAAATATTACTAGCTCAATAAAGTTATTATATGACATACATCATCATCATCATCATCATAATAATAATAATAATAATAATAATAATAATAATAATAATAATAATAATAATAATAATAATAATAATACATGTAAGTTAAAAATAATAATAATTTTTAAATGAAAATAGTACTATAAATTTGTACAAAATAGTTTGAATTTTATATAACATTATATTTAATTTTACAACTAGCACGGGTTGTTTAGCAGTATAATTTTTAGGGAAATTCTACAGTCCTGTTACTGAATCATTTCGTCGAGAATTGCAACTGTTAGATCATCATGTAACCGTCGTGGATAATTGATCTAATGGTCACAAATTCCAATGAAATAATCCGCAACGGGACCGTAGAATTTCCCTAATTTTTAATTTAAAAAGTCTAAGCAAAAGTAAGAATATTATTATGCAATACAACCGTGTGAATGTGACATGGTCCAACCTATTATATGCAACCATGTGTACGTTCAAACTACCAAGGTCGATTTTCAAATCCATATTGAAAGTTCACCATATGCAACCATGTGTACGTTAAAAAAAAAATATCATGTTTTGAATCTTTTGTCATAATAATTTTCAGTGACTATTTATGCTATCATACTTTTATTTATTTTAAAATAAAATATGATATGAATTTAAAAAGTATGTAAGTATATTAATGAAGTGTGATTGACTGAGATAACAAATATCGTTGTTTGTGGTTGTACAGAATTCCAGTAAATTTCTATATATATTGTGATGCTTAGCTAGATTTTATTTATTAATTCATATAAAGCTGCGTTATGTTATGATTATGTGTTCAAAATGAAGTATAGTCTAATCATGCACCTAATCTATTGCTTGACGGATATTGATTTCGAATCTAGACAATTTATTTACTGTCAGAAACATGATATGGGTAATTGGTCGAATTTAGGTGTTATTATTCTTAGGAAAAATAATTATGCACATTAATTTTTAACGAATTAGTTATTTGTTGCTTATATTGTAGATATATTGTTTTTTACCCTATTTATAGAGCATTTCAACACATGTTCACTGCTGATAGGATAATTCCACGCGATGTTGGGAATTGTCGTGTATTGCTGCTAGGATAATTAATATAGGAGAATTGTATAGGAGATAATGTATTGAGAATTGTATACATTGACTTACTTTACGTAATTAATATAGGAGATATAATTCTTTATTCAGTGCCAACTACGTATTTCGGAATTAATAATATTTGTATGAAGGACAATAAAATATTTTAAGATGTAAAACATTTTAATCATATAATTTTCATCTTATATCCATCTTTCCGCAAAACTCTTTTATTTAAAATCCATTTAATTAGAACCAAATTCTTCTATTTTAATTTGTTGAGTGAAGATGACAATATGACATACGAATTAAAAACGAAAAAAGTAAACAACACAAGATTTACGTGGTTCGGCAATGTGCCTATGTCCACGGTGGCTGAGGGATCTTTATTATTCTCAATAGTCTCAAATACATCAATACACCATGTATTTATACTATAACCCTACAAGGTATTAATTTACTTAAATACTCCGTACCGTACTGCGGGGGCTTTGCCCCCGCACCCCCGTCCATACCGCGGGGGCTCCACGCCCGCACCCCCGACCCAACTAATCGACCCAGCCCAACAAGGGCCAAAATTTTGCTTTATATTCAAACGAAATTAGATATTAGATATTGCGGAAGACCCTACCTAATACTACTAGGATGGCTGATGCCTGTTCGCTCCACTCCGCTCACTTTGCTCGGTCGCTCTGCTTCCCTCGCTACGCTCGCAGGCTTCCTTTGTCAATATATGAGTCATATCAACATAATTATATTGTTAAGAGTAATTTAATGCTGAGGTGGACAACCAGTGTGTGCAATACATGGTTCAAAAATCAAATGGCTCGTTTGGACATCATGAGGCTCTGACTAGGGCGATCCGGGACTTACTCTTGCGTGATTGGTCTGTTCAACTACATCAGGTGCATCGGGAAGCAAAATTTGTGGCGGATTACTTAGCCAGTTTAGCGGGCTCTACTGCGCTCGGGCTACATCGACTCACCTCGATTCCCACTGGTGTGGAGGTCTGGCTTGACCATGATAGTATGGAGGTGTCGTATCCCCGACGGACTCTAGCTTAGGCTTTTCAGCCTCTTTTTTTGTACCCAAAAAAATTATCCCATTTATACACAGTCCTAATAATATAAACAGCACGTCTTACGTTCTCATCACAAGAAAGTCGTGTACTTCAATTGATTGAATATAGAACAAACACCTGAAGGAAACCAAAATACCTTGAAACCAAAAATTTGGGCCACATTATCGACTAAACCATACTTTCACTCAGCATTTGGGCCACATTATAATCCAAACCTCTTAAAAAACACATATAATATATGTAACAATAATCTCGAAATCTCAAAATTGTAATAACTAATAACAACTTACAAGACAGTACAACTTAAATACCATGACAACCTTCCGAAATGGAGAAAATCCAAGAAAATACCCCAACAAAAGCCACTTTTGGGAGACCCAAAATCACCCAGCCACCATTGAAAAAAAAAAAATCCAGTTTCTAATGATACAAGATCACTCAAGAAAATTGAGAAAAAAAAAATGAAAGAGAAAAAAAATAAAAATTAGTTAAAGCTGAAACCACCACTTGGGAGAGACACTTCACTTCCACCGAACTGGAAACCCTGCTCCTCAGGTGGGGCCTGCTCGTCGTCTTCCTCCAACCAGTAAGTTTCGAGAATCTTCACGGCCTTTTCGTATATCTCATTATTGTCGTGACTTTGAAGGTTCTCGATTTTCTCGAGCCCTTCAGCATCGTCGATCATCTGAGCGTAGAGATTGACGTCCCCTGTGTGGCCCAGATTCTTCTCAGCATCACCAACTTTCAGTATATTCTCTAGCCCCTCTAAGCACACAGTCACAATCCTTGGGTCCGGGCACACGAGCAAGTCGCAAAGGGGCTTGATACATTGTTGGCTCACGAGGTACCTGTTTTTTTTTTTTTTTGAAAATATACAAGACTCGCTATTTTTATTTCTATTTTTATTTTCGCCTCGTAAATCTCATCTGTAAAATTTTCTAATTGAATTAATTGGTAACACAATTCCCAAATAACAATAATTATAACCACAATTGGACTATTATACTTTATCATCAACTTTTGTCATTATCCACCGACATTCTTGAAGATTCATCGTTCTCCTTCTAAAAAATTATCCATTGCTATTCTGCATTGGAAAGAAAAAAGAAAAAATAAAAAATAAAAAAAAAACTCACTTGATCTGATCATGAGTGCCACCAGATGTTGCGTTGGATATGGCCCAAGCAGCCTCCTTTTTCACGTCAAATTCGGCATTCTGAAGCAACTGAACTAATGGGCCGATTAAGTTAGCCTCAATGACTGCCTGCATTCCAACAAGTAAAAAGTAAAATATAAAAAATGAGTAATGTACTTGACAGGAAAATATACCAAGTGAAATCAAGGCAGTATTTCAGCATTCTCGTATTAACCTGAATTTGGCCTCTGTTACCAGCTGTGATATTGGAAATAGTCCAGCAGGCTTCCTTTTTAATGCTCTTTTTATGAGATTCACTCAAGAGTTTTAGGAGGCAAGGTAGTGCATTATAGCTGATGATATACTGGAAACAATCATAGAAATTCCATATGAAAAGGTTACAACCCCATTTTAAAAGAAACAAAAAAGCAAAAGCATAACAGCAAGATTGAGGATCCACGATGGACTCTAATGCATATATATACATGTATAGTCTAAAACATGACTCAGAAACAGGTTGTAATGTAATCTAAAACATGACTAAGAAGGCATGTTGTTATTTGTTAAAACATAGTCTCCAAAGAAAATTAAAAAGAGACTGAGCAGAAGGGATTGCTAAAGCTTTAAGATGCCAAAATACAGTTAACAGATGCAGGACACAATTAGTTTCAGGCGAACACCACTATTCATTCGTATCAGTTATCACATATAAGCTGTATTTAAAAATCCTGAAATACGGGAATAACAATTGTAGGGTATACATGTTCCTACTATCATTAACAGCAACTCCCAATCATCTTGTGCTAGGAAAAGCTTCAATGAACTCTCGTTCTAGAATGCAGACATTCTGACGAGGAAAGACGCAATACCTCAAAGTAACTGATCAGGCATTAATCAAAAAGAGTAACTAAGATCAATAAAATTAATTGATCTATTTAATAATTAAATCTATATGTAGTGTTCATAGCTGAATCAATCCCAAAGATCTTAAAGAAATATATTATTGGCTTATAAGCTTCATCAAGATACCACTCGCAACAGTAGCTTCTGAGATACTAAAATCTAAAAGTTTGTTTTGGTATCCAACCACTTTCCTACGAGGGAGACAGTCTCTGAATCATCTCGTCATTAAACCATATTACAAAAAGTTAATTACAGAAACAAAAATACAAAACAGTAACACATAAAAAAGGATGATAGGAGCTATGACACACCCTTTAACATACCTGAGTTTGTATATCATCTCCAGTGACAATATTTCCAACAGTCCGGAGGGCAGGAATAAGAACGGATGGTGATGGATGACTGAAATTGAACATCAAATCAGTCACATAAGAAAGAACGAAAGAAAGAAAGAAAGAAAGAAAAAAAGAAACATAATAAAAAGTGTAATGGATAACATTAATAGTGATACTCACAGCAACAACTCGACTAAGCGGGGGCATACTCCAGAGTCAATCACAGCTTGAATTTTGTCATTGGTTCCATCAGACAGATACGAAAGTGCCCAACATGCATCAGTCAGAACTTCTTCATCACTCGAGTGAATAAGTTGCCGGAGAATTGGAAGTGCGGGCCTCGTCTGTATACAAAGATAATAATTATCACTAAACAATTAATCATGATTCAAAATCATAATTGTTTGCAATACTCATATTATATCATATTATTATAGAGATATGAAGAGTCAAAGGAGCATCTAGTCAAGCGAATGAATCATGGGGGCTTCTTTCAAACCGTTACCTCTCCTGTAATTGCTAGGCCTGGAATTAAGAAAACATCCGGACTATCGGAGTTCATTCCTTAGGAGGTTACACAGCTTTTTAGAAGGTCCCATGAGTGAGGGATTAAAAGGAAAGATAAGATAAAAGGGCTCAAACTCCTATGGGAGCGATCCCTACAGCCGCTAAAGGTAGCCAATATACCATGTGTCTTTCCCAGCTGGCTGAGAACAAAAATAAAAAATTTGGGCCAAAAGGTGTTCATTTCAAGTAAGAACTCCCTTGGATTTATAAGAACCGACTTTACTCTGAGTGTGAATTCTAGCTAATTAACTCAAACCAGAAATTACCATTGAAACTTGAAA